AGTTTTGGAAAAAAAATGAAGAAAAATTGTTACTAATGGCGCACCGTGGATGTGGTGCGCCATTAGTATTTGGACACTAATGGCGCACCATGGCGCACCACATGTCTGGTGCGCCATTAGTGGCCATATCATCTATAGCCCTTTTCCTAGTAGTGTATTACTCGAGCGAGGTTATAGTAATGTAATTGATAAGTTATGCATGCGTGCGCAGCTTCCACTATATTCTCCTGGAGATTAAGCTTGAGCGGGGACTAGTAACCGTCTTAGACTCGAGATGAAAAGATCCCGAAACTTATGCGGACATGACTAAAATGCTCAACAAGTAAGTTCAATTGATCATTATCGTACCATATCGGCAACTTTTTGTTCATTTCCTGATATCTCAAGTAATAATAATTATTTTCTTTGTCTTGCAGGGTTTGGAAACAGTTCACCGCAGAAGCTCCGGGACTGCCGAAGGAGCTGCGATATACTACTAGCTAGCTAGTTGCGCGCATCTCACGTTGATTCTATAGCTACTTTCATCAATGCCATTTATAATGCTTCATTATCAGTTTGATTGACCTCTATTTCTCGTAAAGTGCTTGTGGCAGGAACAAGGGAATGATTACTGTGGATACTATGTGTGCGAGTTCATCTACAACACGACTTTGAAAAATAAGCGGGGCTACTCTAAAAGACAATATGAAGTGCTTAAGCAATAATATTCACAATGTCATTTTATTACACCATCATTTCTGTTGAGTTTCATTCATATATATGTATTAACCCCCTTCTTCAAATTAGACGTGGCAGATGCGGAATGAACTCCTACCACAAGATCGCATGAAAGCAATTCAAGAGGAATTGGCGGGATTCTTTCTTGACCACGACATCAATAAAGACGGAGAATACCATGTGGAAGTTGATTTCAAATGCTAGGGGATTGTAAGAGATCTTACATATTGTATATGTATGTAGCCAGTAGCGTCAGATAGATAATACGAAAACTTGTTGTTCGACCAATCTCTCGGAGAAGGAGAGGTCAATCACTTCTCCCGGTATGCATGACGAACTTCTGTACTTAATGGTTTCCTTCATTTTCTTACTAGCTAGCGTGTCAAGGGCCTCTCTATGTATAGTACGTAGCGTCGACCAAGAACGGACATAAGAGAGGACACTTCTCTCTATTAATTAGCTAGCTAACATAATATATGAAACACCTAAATTAATCCCCCAAAACCCCCACCCCCCCTTAAAAAAAACAAAAACCCTAGCCCCTGAAATGCTGACGCATGGATGCCTATTGGTCCCGGTTGGTGCCACCAACCGGGACCAAAAGCCCTCCTGCCTGGGCTCGGCGCACCGGCCACGTGGAGGCCCATCCGTCCCGGTTCGTGTAAGAACTGGGACTAAAGGGTTAGGGCATTAGTAACGACCCTTTAGTCCCAGTTCAAAAACCGGGACAAAAGGCCCTTACCAACCGGGACAGATGACCCTTTTTTTTACTAGTGCTTGCTTGGAATCAATATCTCATCACAGCAATATCTGTCACATCATAGCAACATAATCTCTCACAGCAGCATGACTTGAAACCAATAATATCATAGCAACGTGATCTTTCACAATTGTAGCCTCCAGCAAAATGGTTTTGTTTTTAGCCTTTTTGTGTTGCCAACATGTCATTTTCTAATTGAGTAAATGTAGCAACAACATTTGAAGTTGTTCATAGGCTCTCATATGGCTAAGGTCATGGAAGTAGTCAAGCCCACGTTCGTCCAAGTATAATACATAGATCAAACCACACACCATGGACCGTGATATGCTGATCCGGATTGAGCGCATGGGCAAAACACACATGGTGATGTTTTGTACTTCCCCAATCAAGTGTCCTGGTTCCATGACGATACCCTGAAGAAGACTACTCAAGCTAACGGAAGGGGGGAATGTGACTTCATTGAGGAAACAATCTAGTTTAATCGGAGATCCTGATGCTTCCAAGTCCTAGGATGTCTCTGGGTTTCGACTACATTGCAAAAGCAGTTTCCAACTAAGTGCAAAACTTGTTCCATCGTGTACACACGTGTTGTATGTTGATATTAATCTAGGATATTAAAATCTATTCCGACTAAGATGAAAAATTTGGGTACATTGCTTATGTGGTATTTCCTAGTATGAACCTAGCAACAACCGAGCTTTTACACCTTGCTCGGCCTATGCAGGATAGTTTGGTTGCGAGTTATGATCATGTTCCATCTCTCTTCTCATGCTTAAATAGGAACACTACAGACATTACCGTACCACTTGATACCATATGTGCAACAACCATACGATGAATGCTTTCATGCATGCAGTTCAATACCACCATAAAAAGAGCATGTGGACATGTCTGAACTACTATGGTTATCCCCTCCCTCAATATATTAGCTCACCAATAGATGTTCTGGTCATATCAATTCAAGCTCAAAGTGTAATAGATGACCACAACTTGATAACGCCTTTGCATTCACCGTCTCAAAGTTGCATACATCGTCACTATGAATGTGGTAAATCAGCTAATAAATCATCACTATATATGAGGGCAGAAACAGACCTAAGCACTCATAATATCCGCAATATACAACCACATATAAAAGAACATCAAATCATCATTTGGTAGTATCTGCCGGGAAAGAGGCAATTGAAGGTTGGGCTGGGGTAGGAGGCCAATCTTGTATAAGTGTATGCCCTTAAACACAAACATAGTAGAGAGATTTTCATAAAAATTAGAATAATTCAGTTGACATACAAACAGAATGACCAAATGAAGTTTGTTCAGCTCCGGCCTTTCTTGAGCAACTATTTCTAGAGTGCTTACATGTCTGTATCCTTTTAGAGGTTAATATATATATCATGATCTTGTTGGAAGCAGAGAGTAACAAGAGAGTTGGAACTCCACAAACAGAGTACTCTGCTTGCTTTTCCAAAAGCAGAGTATACAGTCATTGAGATGTAGTCACAACCAGTGTTCAATATACAAGATGAAATAAAAAAGAAAAAGAAAGCAGTGTCCAATATACTCGATAAAATACAAAAGAAAAAGAAGGCAGCCAATGATGCGGATCTCAAGCATGTAATCAGGTGGGTGACGTACATACATACAAACACACCTCAAATCCTTTAAAAACAAAACATAAAACTTCAAAAAAAGAATGTCAAAACAAGTCTACTCTACTGTCAACTAGGGCATTCGTTATTGGACAACATATGTTACACTTGAGCAAAGAACTTAATCCAGGCACCTCATCTCTGCCACAACATCAATAGCAAGCAATATCTTCAGCCTGCTTCAGAGTTGACTCAAGCTTTATATAAGTTCAGAAAGTGCTACTTAGCAATTCAAAGACGATACAACATCACTGGAGTACAGGACCAAGCGCTGAACTAGTAAACACGTCTCATTTCGATATCACTTTGTCTTCCTGGGACATGACACGCTCAGTGGAATCAACCTTCTTTCCAAGTGGTGCTGGTGTCTGTGCATAGATGAAACAAGATGAATTTACCACACCTCGGAATATAATAGGAAGCACATGAATAGAAGCCTACCACTTACATTTATTTATTTATATAACAACATCAGATAGATCAGTAGCTACTTTGCTTCATTCTAAAGTGCATATGGCATGAAGCAACAAACTGAATTTTGCAAATGTGTATCAAAATGTGCATGTGACTTCACATCCTGAAGTTTACACAATAACACATCAATAAGAGGAAATTTTCATTCAAGAAATCAATTTAGTTTGTTTCCTTGGATTAAATCCAAAGAAAAAATGAAAGACTAAGAAGCTTATTATTCAGTATTTATCAATTGAAAAAGGAACATATAAACTATGCAGCCGGAAATTTATATAGCAAAAGAGTCAGATAGAGAAGACGAAGATGCATCCAGAGGAGAGAAGAATGAGAGCTAAGGAATTATGGAAAGACTAGAAATAGTAAGAACTTTAGATGTAGAAAGGTCATCATAAAAAAAGGCAACTGATTGAATATATTATTATTACGTGAGGAAACAAACAGTACACCGGTATTTCCTAGAATAATACTATTTTTCTCCTTGTACTCCTATGATAACTTCCACTATATGCAGCAACTCCCTAGCTGTTTATCAGTTCGGAAACAAACTCAATTGCAACATCGCTCTGAAAGCTCAATTGCACCGTAGATCTGCTCCAAAATGCATTTTTTTTCTAAGCATCCTTTTGCTGAGTGAAACGATCTGGTATGTAAATTCAGTTGCACATGTACGATGTTCCCTGCCCCAAATCTTTTTCACATCCACAACACATGGTGGCTTGAAACCAATCTGCTATCTAGTTCACCCAAGCCAAATCAGTTCATTCAGTAATACATACACTGTTTCGTTTAGATATTGTCATTGCAGGATCACACTGCATCAAGCAAACTCATATTTTAAGAAGGGCAAACCTATTCTTTTAGACATTAAAGGGTTTATAAAAGAGCCAGTGGACTGTAACCATGTAAAAACAAACTGACAGAACTATTTCATCGGTTTTAAAATTGCTACTCAGAGAGCAAACAAGGGGTTGTTGTTATTTGATTATACTAATACAAATGTTATATATAAAGATACAAATGTATTGATTAAGGCAATAAATTGAAAATGATGTGAGCATGTTGGTCAAAACAAGGTCCAGTCAAATATACAAGCCCGATGCCAACTTTGGATTACTAGAAGATGACAGTAAAGCTTCCAGTTACATGTATATTGGACAGTACATTAGCACAAAATGCACCAACAATACATTACACCAATTAACTACGTATAAAATTGCAGACGAGTCATAATACTAGGCAGGATATGAATTGGCTGCATCCATAACAAGCACTGGTTGCAAGCAAATAAGCAGCAAAGCATGCTACTATCAAACAAATCCCTGCAACATATTGCATTGTTGTATAACACCGCGACCAGATTAAATAATAGTAAGCAAAGAGTAGATAACACACTCACCACCTCAAATAGTTGGTGCACACAATGATGGTGGCAAACCAGCATATAGTCGACCATACATGTTGGGTTTGCTAAGCTCAGCGAACAATTCGACCTGCAACGTCTTGACGTCCACGGAAAATAGTCCAAACTTAAGCATGTGTTGTGTAGATGGGGTGTACAACGCTTCCACGAGCAGGTATCCCCCAGCTACACCAACAAGAGCAGCATGCTTTACCGGCAACAGGATGACCTTCTCCGAGTACCATTGGTTATTTCTTAGAATTGAATATGCCAGCCAACATCGGTCATCTTCTCTGTACTCATCATAGCGTTTAGTGAGCATCCCGAGCATTCCGTCCGCTGCCTCAACAATGACATAATTGCGGTTCGGTGGTTGTTCAGGTGGGAGGCTGACAACAGAGAACTCCATGGTGTGCGTGTCAAGGAGAAGCAACTTGTTCATGAAATGCAAACGCCAACAGAAGCATCTGTGGACGTACTGACAACAGGACAGCCAAGGCTCAGAGTTCTCAAATGAGCCAATAGTAGCCTGAGCACTCCATTGATCATGAATAAGAATGTGCCATTGTCCATCCAAAGAGGAGAAGCCCAGCATCAGCAGATTTATTCTGCATTGTGCCAAGCACACCACTCTGAATGATAAAGGGTCGTCCTCATCCTCGCCGGGAGCAAGGAAAGTCTCCAACATGAGGAGGTCCGGTCTACGGACCAGCGCTTTCAGGTGGTCGGGGACGGCAGGTAGCAGGATGTAGCAGCGGTGCACGGGGTCGCACACGGCGAGGACCCTGACCAAAAATTGGCTGTACTGTGAGTCACACAGCTCAGCGCCCACGAGGAAGCGGCTGCCGGATTCTTCTTTGACCGGGGCGCCAGCAAGGAGGGCCCGCCCGTCAAAGAAATCAATTTCACTCCAGGAGCGGCCGGCGGTGGAGGGGAGGAAGGAGGAGCAGGAGAAGTTGAAGCCGGCGAAGCAGTGGCGGAGCCAGGAATTTGCTGCTGGGTATTCTTTTAATTTTTTTTATGCCAAAGCAACACAATAGAACAATAAATGTACAACAAGATGATAATATTAATGACTCAATGACCATACATCGATAATAGTAGCAAAATATCATTGTGGCAATATCTCTAACAATTAAGAAAAATTACAAATAGCAAAGGAAATTACAATATAACTTTACGATCCCTTTTCTGGAAGAGATTGATGACATCCTCATCTTTCACTTGCCCGAAGAATTCTCTCTCAACGAATGTAACCAAGAAATTGTTCAAATATTCATCACCCATTTTGTTTCTTAGTGAATTCTTCACGTATTTCATCGAGGAAAATACCCTCTCAACGCTAGCAGTGGCTACCGGAAGAATGAGAACCAACTTAAGAAGCTTGTAAACAATATAATATTGTTCATTCTTTCTTGTCTCAACCATCAAAACTGAAAGCTCACATAGACTCTTCAACTTGCTAAACCTTTTATCCTTACGCACATGAGAAATGAACATGCTTAATTGCCATGGAAGTCTTGACAATTCATCATTTGTGAAATCCTTAGCATAAAACTTTCTAGCAAGCCTAACCAACTTCTCTTTATCATAAGCAGCAAATGCATCACATGGACTGAATGCTGCCATGCAAGTAAGTAGTTCAGTGTTTACCTCATCAAATCTTGCATTCAGCTCTTGAAGTTGCCTATCAATGACACCCACAAACATTTCAACCTTGAAACGTTGGTAATTCTTTGCGCCATTGAAGAACCCTCTTCTTGGTCTCCCAGCAGGATAGTAAGGAGCCTCCATGTCAACAACTTTGATCTTGTGCTTTACACAAAAAGAAGTGACATTCTCAAGAAAATCATCCCACCCTTCATCTTCTCGCAAGCATTGCAAGTGCAGCTTTGTGAGATCAACAATCTCCATAGCATTAACAATATCTTGATCTTTTTTTTGCAAAGCTCTACTCAAGTCATCGGTATATTCAAATATTTCTTGCATCAAGTGTGCCATGAAAACAAATTCAAATGTCCGAAATGATGTCAACATAGTCATTGCTGCTACTGCCTCTGTGCCATTATACTCTTTTGCAATCCTTATGAGAACACGCCTTATTGCCGGATACATAGAGATAACATGGTTGACAGTCTTGTAGTGAGAGCCCCAACGAGTATCACATGGCCTTCCAATACCCATTTCTTGATTCAAACCTGTCCCGATTTCTACTTCTTCCAACTCTAATGCAGCAATAAGTTCCTCAGCTTGCGCTATTCGAAGCATTCTCATCTTTTTACAAGAATAGCCTAGAACATTTAGCAAACATGCCAGCTGTTGAAAGAACCAATTACAATCACCACTCTCCTTTGCAACAGCAACAAGAGTTAATTGTAGTTGATGGGCAAAGCAATGGACATAATAGGCATAAGGAGACTCATCCATAATTAGTTTCTTCATGCCATTAGCATTACCTCTCATATTACTAGCCCCATCATATCCTTGCCCACGGACCATTGCAAAGCTCAAATTGTATGCCATAAGCATGTCCTCAATTGCAGCTTTAAGTGTTAAAGAGGAAGTGTCTTCAACATGGGCAAGACCAAGAAATCTCACAACTGTCCTTCCTTTCTTATCCACATAACCCAAGCAAACAACTAGTTGTTCATTCTGGTACATATCACTAGACTCATCTGCAAGTACTGCAAAATGTCCACCATCAAGATCTTCAATGACTAGTTTAGTAGTCAGCTGGGCACAACATTTGATCAACTCTTGTTGTATATCATGGCAAGTCATCTTACAATTTTGTGGAGCATTCTTTAGAACCACCCTATCAACCTCTTCAAAGTTTCCTGCTAGCCAATTTAAAAGCTCAAGGAAATTTCCTTTATTTAGTGAGTCATCACTTTCATCATGTCCTCTAAATGCCAAACCTTGGTGCAATAGGAATCTTAAACACTTGAGTGTCCATGTCACATGGAGCTTATATAGAACCTTGTACAGTGTGGTGTTTGAAGCAATAGACTCCCTAATTGATGTTGTAGGTGTAGTGAACATATCATACTTTTTTTGAGCTTCAGCGTGAGCACTACTAACAGCACCAATATGCCTCTTCAATCTAGCTTTCAAGTTCCAATTATTAAACCCACCGTTCACGAATGCATCTCCTCCGGGACTTTTTGTTTTATCCTTGAACAAGTAGCAAACAAAGCAGAAAGCAGCCTCTTCTTGCACACTATACTCAAGCCACTTATAATCCTTAAACCAAGTAGGGCAAAGCGACGGGGATGTCCACTAAAATCTCTGATCTCAAACTTATGATCCTTTGGTTGACAAGCACCCAAGTCAATGTATCTCCTTCTAACTCTATTTTGGTCATTGGCGTGATATGAAGATATGGGAAGTCACTTGCCGGGATCACGTTCCAGAGCTGCCAAATCTTCTTCAAATTGGGGCATTGATTCATCATCTTCATCGACCGCTTCATCATCTTCTACAATTGGAGTTGTCTCCCTCTCCGGTTGTGGAGCTTCTTCATGTCTTTGCACTAGTGCTAGCTGCAGATTGCTCTCGACCTCAACGGAAAGAGAAGTTGGTGTGGATGTAGGAGCTATTTTCCTTGTCTTTGAAGATTTGTCCCACATTTCAAATATGGTAACACCCTTCTTCTTCATCTACATGACAATCACATAAACAAAATAGAAATCAGTGACAGGGACAATGTGGCTTGGCCTAATGTACATGGGACAAACACTTCAATTTTCATAGTAAACAAGAAACGAATCACATAGTAAAGGAAGTTATTGCAATTTCAGTTTACTATATTTAAATTTACAAGCACTCACTGAATAAACTACAGATTTGTTAGAAACAGAGGGAAAGAAACAGAGGAAGTGAGGAACCGAGGCTGGACCTGCTGCCTGCTGCTGCTGGACGACGCTATCGTCGGACCTGCTGCCTGCTGCTGCTGGACGGAGGGCGATGCCGGTAGCCGCCGCGCTGGGGAAGCCGGAGGCGGACTGGCGGCCTGCCGTTCTGGCGCTTGGCGGAGCCGCGGAGGAGAGGGCCGGACGGAGGAGAGGGGAGCTGGGGAGGGGAGGGAGATGGCCGGAGTGGAGGGGAGGAACTGAGGGAGAGGCGAGAGGAGAAGGCCGACCGCCGGACCAGAATCGCTCGCTGCCGCCGCCGGAGCCTCAGCTAGCGCTAGGTTAGGGGAAGGGGAAAGGGGATTCGATTTCGGTCTGCTACTCACGCGCGAGACCAGACACCCGGTCGCTCATGTCTGGCGCCCCGCGTCATTGCGTTGCTGTGTTTGGGCTGGGCATTGGGCCATTGGCTGGGCCAAGTAAGTCTACATCGTATATTGATATGTGTAGTAATTTTTTTTGCACAAAATTCTTTGGTATTCCAGGGAATACCCAGGAATACCCCAGCTCCGCCATTGCGGCGAAGGCGCGGGCTGGGACGGCGGAGGGGTGCGGCTGCTGAGCTGGGATGAAGGGATCATGGACCATGCCGATGAGAGGCGGCGGGTGGATGACGCGGTACCGCCGGAGGAAGGCGTGGCCGGAGATGACGCTGTGGAAGGAGGCGCAAGCGGTGGAGGCGCGGGCGAGGTCGGCGGCGGCGGGGAGGCGGAGGAATATTTCCTCAAGCAGCACATCCGGGAGATCGGCGACGGACGACGCCGGCTGTGGGATCTGCTGAGGGCCTGTCACCGGCGGCGAGGCCATCACGGTGGACGGGAGGAAGATTTCCTGGAGCAGCCCGTCTTGGACTCGAAGGGACGGCGGCTCCGGCGGTGGTACTGGGTTGGAGGTTGGCGGCGGCGCCATCGGAGTGGTCCGGAGGGGGAATTGGGGATTTTGGTAGGTTTGGTGACCGGTGAGGAACAAGTGCCAATGGACACTTCACCGCACAAGATGGTCAACATAATCCATTCTAAATAAACAAAACCACCTCTGTCTAAACATTCCATATTTATCAAATCTCTTGATTTTGACTACCAAGATTGTCCAACTAATCCATTTCTTTTAATGGTCAACAATAACTTTGAATTGAAGGATTTAATTAGCCAATATTCGAAGGGAATGGATTCACGATGATTCCGTAAAAGATTGCAATTTTTTATCCCATTAAAATTGTAACTTCATTAAAAAAATAGCCTACACGATGAGATGGTTCCATGCTTAATCATTTGGTATGCCAACATTTACATGTTCATTAGACTAGTTGAATGCTCGTGCATTTTCACAGAATAAAATATGTATTGATACTTTCTCAAATGATGATGTGATTAAGACTCAATTATAAATGGTAATTTCCTCGTCTTTGATGATGATTTGGTATCCTTACAACTACTTTTTATTATAGTCACAGTGGGGAAAAAATGAAAGAAACAAATTCAAAACAGGAGCAATTGACATTATAGGATGGCCCCGTTATATTTCTGATCCCTGAAGCCTTCACATTTTATTTCAAGACTCTTTTGGTTATGGCAAGCCAACTCCTAGCCTATGCCTCTAAGCATTACAGACGACCTATAAATACTAGTAGAACGCCCGTGCGTTGCTACGGGCTACAACACATATAAATGAATCAAACAAATGATTAAGGTCATCTTCAAAGTCGAAGCTCATTTCTTACTCATACATCCGAGTTTTTGGAAATCCAACGGGCGCCCAATAAGCTTCCAAGAATTCAACCGTCTCGACAGTCCGGGTTTCCCAAATCCAAACCATATGCGGGGGAGAAATGTGGTTGTCCAGACTATTCCCCATGTTATCTCCAAGACGCGGGCCCAACACGAAAACCCCACCCCACGATGCACCCTTCCCTTTTCCTGTCGGACCCTTCCCTCCCCGCAGGTTTCCCGCCGTAGCGGGACATTTCTCGCTAGAGCCCTCTCCATTAAAACCTGATGACGCCCATCTTACCTTCGCCATGGCGCCCTCTCTTCTTTACAACATACTTCCCCATGGACCGGCAAGGAGGAGTCCCCCGCCAAGCGCCCCGCTTTCCACCCTGATCCCCGACCCCCGTGTTCGTGCCGATCCGCTACAACCATCTAGGGGGAGGAGGTGTGCGCCGCCCGTGACGCCCCCGCCCCCCGTCAAAAGTGTAATCTCGACCAGTGAAAAACACATTTTCTAAAAGCCTAATCTCAACATTGAAAAACATCAGGAAAGGATTTAGGCGTGCACACAACTTAATTAGTCCTAGCAAATCTATAACACCAGTAGTTCTTCAAATCATATTTTGTTTTAGATTGACACTAAACCTTCTACTAAATATGTCAAAGTAAATAGGAACTCAGACGTATGTCGGTGCGTTGCTACGGAAAAAATGCAAGTAAATAACTCAACCAGTTTATCTAAGCACATGCCTAACGTATGCCCTCTTTATCAATTTGTTTAGTAAATACTATGGGATTGGTCGCCAGAATAATTTTTGTGCCAACCGAATTTCATGTATGTCTTCTTCCTCTCTCGTTCATCCTCCTCCTCCCGTTCTCGCGAGCCACACTCTTGAAGCCAGGCTAACCGTTGTCTTCTTCCTCTCCTTCGACCTCCTCCTCCCACTCCACCGGCCTAACCGTAGTCCCCTGCGTACTTTGAGCCGATATCAAGGCTCATCAGCCAAGGCCGATCATCGGCGTGACTTCATATTATAGAGTTGTAGATGTCCTTAATATGACTGAAACTGATTGACCAATGGCAGAACTGCCCTTAATATTTTGGGAGGACTGATGGTTTTAGTTTGTTCCTTTAGCCACTCAGTTTCTGGGAGACTGGGACTTGTACTACATAGTTAATGAGCAAGGCAAGACTGGTTTATATTTGGGATGCTAACGGATTAGGCCCGGTAGAAGGAGCGGCAACGATGAGTTGATGCAACGGTGGCATGCATTGGAAAGTGTTGCTCAAATCGTTGTGAGCACCAGATTGTTTGGCAATATATGAGGCTAAGTGTGGATCACTCTTCTGAACTTTGTGCGAGACCTGAACTGTTTAGTGTAGAGTGCAAGTAACACCTTATTTTGTTTTCATGGGGTCTCTCCTCTAACCCCTCGACTCTCCTAGATTAGATGGTGAAGCTCTCATAGTTGCAATGATGGTTTCCGCTGCTAATCAAACTGAGGGGCCATCACGCGTGCTCTCCTCTCAAGTCCGTATGTTCCCACGGGCCAAAAAAATTTACATATAGAGATAGTTCCATTGAAATAAACTATAATTCATCACGTGGATGTTGCATGCGACTTATGATTGTATTGCTATAAATTAATATCGGTTCTTCTAATACATATTTTCTCGTCCCATGTATAAATACACTGCATGAGTTCAACGTGTAAAGAAGACAGTGACATAAAATTCCACAATGAATGAAAATGCACTTCGTTTAGAGTGTACGTAGCTCGATGAGTTTTCAAACTCTTTCAACAAC